GCCGGGAGAGTGCGTCGGCCCGCATGCCTGGACGGAGCGTCCGCGCGACAGTCCGGGCCGACAGGGCCGCAGGGCAGAGAGCGCCTCACTGTCTTTCGGGGTCAGACTCAGCCTCCCCAGAGCAGCACAACCTTAACACCCACGTGCACTTTTTCACACTGTGCCGGGAGGCCACGGCCCCATGCTCCGGCGTCACGTGGCCCTGCGCCATCTCCGGGGTCGCAGAGCGGCCGCGCACCTCGCGTCCAGTCCTGGGCTGAGATGCACTTCGCCTCCAGCCCATCTTCCCACACTGACAAGTTCCTACACCCCGCTTCACGTGACCACAGACGCCCTGCGGACGGGTCTCCGAGGCCGGCCCCTCGGCGGCCAGCCCCCCTCCCGCCAGATCAGGCCTGCCAGCGCCGGGCTCAGCCCCAAGAAGGCGCGTCCCCTCCAAGCCACCGCCTGGCCGACTCCGTGCTCTATTTTTAGCTCTATGGAAAGGGTTGTTTTTCTTTCTTTTTCCCTGGAAAGGGAAAACACAGCCCAGCCACCCTTAGGCTCACTCCAGAGCCTCAGTCGCTCCAAAGCCCACTGCCCCCTCTCCTGGAGAGACCCCCTCCTTGCGCCAGGCCCTGCTCCCCGCTCCAGGGCACCAAGGGCCACCTCCCCTCTCTGGCAGCCAGCCCAGAAGCGCGGGCAGCAGCTGGCTCCAGTTTGCAGGCGTGGGGGTGGGGCGGAAGACCTTGGTTGCAGTCCCTCCCTCGTCCCCGGTGGGAGGGGGCTCATCCCACTACCTGGACAGGGCCCCCCCCCATACTTTCATGCATTCTGGAGTGGTCTGCCGCTCTTGCACGCTTGGGTTCTCTGCGCTTACCCTGATAAAAGTAGTACGAAGGGGGCAACTGTCCACTGCCGCCAAGGGTCCTCCTCCCTATTACTTCAGGGATGCAGACTCCTAGGATGTGTGCGGCAGCAGGAAGGCAAGGAGCCCAGGGAGCGCCGCCCCAGCCCAAGTACCCAGGTCCCCCGTGTCAGCCGGCTCCAGGGGACGAAGTTCTTCCATTTCTGGGCAGAAGGCTATCACCATTCCAGGCCGAGAGGGGACCCCGCAAGCTCGCCCAGCCTGACCCCCGCCCCTGGTGGGGTCTGCAGAGCAGTCGTGTGCGTGGTGCCTCTGGACGCTTCAGGCTTCACCTGCAAGTGGGCGGCGGGGAAGCAGAAACCTCCGGACACGTCCCACCGGCCCGGCCACGCTCGCGGTCCCTTTTCCCCACCCCGGCCCAAACAGCCTGGGCCCCGGCGCGGCCCTGGGACCATGGGGCACCCTACCGGGCGCGTCCCCTCCGAGTGCACGTGTGTCTGTGCCCTAAGTGCGTGCGTGGGTACGTGCGCGCACGCCTGTCGGTCTGCTGATGCGAGTTTCCATGTCACTTCGCTGTTCAGACTTTGCCTGAGCCCGCGGTACCCCTTCTCACTCCCACCCCTCGCTTCCCCCAGGCGCAGAGTTCGCTGGGAGCCGGGACGTGCGGGAGGCGGGAATTCCTGCGCCCCCACCACCCCACCACTCACCCAGCGCCACCGCTCTGCCACTCCAACTTGGGCCAGGCTCCGGCTCCAGCGAGCCCGCGCCTAGAGGACAGCCGCCCCCGGCCCACTCCGGGCTCCGGTCACAGAGCTCCCGGCTCCGCGGTCTTGGCGCCCACGGAAGGGCGGAGCAACTGAGGCCGCGCCCCCTCCCGGGGAGAGGAGAGGTCTGGGCCGCACCCCCCCAGCAGCCGACCCGAGACCCAGCTCAAAAGTAACTCGACCGCGACGGGAGACTGCCCCGAGGGCCTGTGACTTCACGGCTTACCGACTAGGCAAAGAACCACAGAGCTCCCGGCTCCGCGGTCTTGGCGCCCACGGAAGGGCGGAGCAACTGAGGCCGCGCCCCCTCCCGGGGAGAGGAGAGGTCTGGGCCGCACCCCCCCAGCAGCCGACCCGAGACCCAGCTCAAAAGTAACTCGACCGCGACGGGAGACTGCCCCGAGGGCCTGTGACTTCACGGCTTACCGACTAGGCAAAGAACCAGGGGGAAGAAGCGAGCATCACGTGATCTCGAGCCGAGCTACCTGACTGCCCTAAGGGGCTACCCGGCTTGGCCCTGCCCCCCTGCCCTGCCCTGCTCCGCAGGTCACCCAGGTGGGGCTGCGCTCTACACTCAGGGAAAACCCCTGAGAAGTGAACAAAGGAGGCTTAGGCTTCACCAAGACACCCCAATCCCAAATACACAGGTGGATCTGGGGCTGCCCAAGTAGCCAGCACCACCCTCCCGGGCGCAGATGTCAGCCCAGGGCTACACTCATAAAGTCCCACCCACAGGCACAAACAGGAAGTCGGCCTGTTCTGGGGAGGCACCGAGGGCTCCTTCCCTCCCAGCCTCATGGCCCTCGGTGCACAGCGTTGCAGACTCCAGGGAGTTTAACTCCCCTCCAGCCGTCCACAGTGGGGAAGCCACCCTGACAGCCATGCTCAGTCGGAGGATAGGGCGGGAGATGCAGCCATACGATGCTCTCGGCTAGGCCCTTCCTGAGCTCTCTGTAATTCTTAATCAAGTGAACACACAGATTACCATTCCTAACCCAGGTAATTTGCCTCACCCACTTCAGGCTGAGCACACAGACAAGTCCCTGGAATTTAAGCAGGATCTAGGACACCCACCCACACCCTCAGGCTTGGAGGACTCGGGGAAAATACTTGGGGCTAGGTTCCATGTGGGTTGTTCGAGGCAAGTATGGAGCAGAGTGTTGCATAAGGGGTGAGGCTGGGGGTATTCACTTCCCCTGTCCCTCATCATTCTGGTCTGTGCTGTGTGGGGGTGTCTGCTGGGAGGGTGGGGCAGAACAGGCAGTTGTGGGATCTCTCCAGCCCATGTTCACACAGAGCCTTCCGTGTCCCTGTTGGAAACCCCTGAAGGACTTTGAGAATATGGCAGACATGCTAGGAAGCCTGGAATACGGAAACCAGGTCCACAGGTAGGACCAATCTGGCATCGTTCATCAGGAAGGCCCAGCGGACGTGCAGCGTTACAGACCCTGGCTCCAGGCTGTCTGGGAGCGACCCCCAAGAAGGCAGCCCCAGGAGCTACCCCACCCCCGGGCCTTCCCCCTTCAGCACACAGCTCTGTAGCAGCTTTGCTCCAAGGCCTGCTGAGGAGGTATTTGAAGCCCGTCTCTCACAGACCCTTCAGTAGGGTCCCTGAGGCCCCTCCTGGGCTGACTGCAAGGCAGGCAGAAGTCTTTCCAAGAAGTAGAAAACCCTCCCCAGCTGGCACAAACGTTTTTCCCAAGACCTTCAGAACATCATGCCTGCTCACCATTCTTTTTCTTCAGGCAATCCCAAGGGAAACTGGGACTTTTAAGATATCAGAGGAATCAGGATGAGTGTCATCATGCAGGAATATTAGTGGAAGGGTCTGTGGACCTATTCCAACTTCCCCCAGGGCCTAAAATGAAAATCCCTGTAACCCCCTCAAACTGCAGAATTAGAAATGTGTGCAGGATTGGGGAGGGGGTGGAAAAGTGTAGGTCCCGGGTTCTGCATTTTTAACAAATCCCCAGGTTGGTAAGGAGGAGAAACATGGAAGAGGGAGCAGAAGGGAAATGTTGGGGGAGTAGAGATAAGAATATGCTGAGTCTTGAGTCCACAGGGAGAGAAGTGGCTCATACCACAGAGGGAAGAGGAGCAGCTGGTCAGGCAGGGCCTGGGCATGCGGCTTCACCAGAAATCTCCTGGGAGAGCATCATGGACACCACCACCCTGTCTCCCCAGGCCAAGAAGTAGGAGGGGAGGTGGGAAGTGAAGGCCTTTCAAGGTCCTGGCTTCCTCAGGAGCCAGAGCTGCCCCTCCTCCAGCGCAGTTAGACTGGGGAGACACCTGGTGGACATATCAGAAAACACACACAAATAAAAGTAACAGGAAAATTATTTTTCATGAAAACTACAAAAGATTCCCTCCTCTAGGCTCCTGTCTGAGGCAGCACACGATGGAACCAGCACCCAGGGGCAGGATTCCAGCCCCTTCCACGGCTCTGCAGCCAAGCATCGCGTGGAGGACCCCCCACACCCAGGCTCGTGACAGGGCTAAGCACTCGGGGTCTGACTCTAGCAGCCTCTGAAGTGGGCAGCAGAGGCGCGTCTGCCATCCCATCATCCTTTGACTCCAGTCGTTAGCCAGAAGTCAGACGTCCCCTCCGGGCTCAGGGCCTGACCTCATGGCCTCTCGCCTCACTTGCTCAGGGCTTCTCAGCCTGCACCTCCACCTCCTTCTCCCGATCCGGACACAACCTCCCCGCCTAGTTCCCAAGGCCCCAACTCACATCCCCTCTACTGAGACATCGTTTTAGAACACTTCAAGTAGCCCTTGAGCACTCTGTCACATTTCTATTTTCTTTCTATCCCTGTCAGTGTCTTCTGTTTATTTGTTCACTGCTCGTCTCTTGTACCACGGTGCAGGTTCCGTGGAAACAAAGACCTTATGCATCTTTTCAGTGCTGCATATACAGGACCTTGAACAAAGTCTATCACATCGTCAGTCCTCACATAGCTGCTGAGTTTTCTATGGCGCCCTGCCCTAAGCTGAGAAGGAACCACAGCTTAGAATTATAGTGCAGAGAAGCCCTAGCAGAGGGCCAAGAAAGATCCACACTCTGGCCTGTCCCATGAGGTTCACTTTAGGGGTCGGCTGTCAACTGCCTTTACCCCGTAGGGTTAGAGGTGTCTGGCTGGTAGGGGATGGGGTCATGGCCCGGGCAGGTCTCATGGTTCTGGGGCACAGCCCCCTTTTTGCCAGAAGAGGGCTTCTTGACAACCAGTCCACTGTCATCCTTGATCTTCTTGAGCCGGCCCTTGCTCTTTGGTGGTACGGAGAAGGTGAGGGAGCTCTTATTGAACTCAAGCGGGAAGACACCCACGTCTCCATCAAAGCGGTTCTTGGACACCTGCAGATATCGCTTCCCTGGCCCAGTTACCAGCTTCCTGTCCTGCAGGATCAGAACGTTGTCCGCTTCTTGGCTTGCCTAGGGGATGAGAGGCACGGGAGGAAGGCAGGAATAGAAAAGGGTATGAGCAAAGTAGAAGGAAGGCTGACGGTCAGGAAGGAGCGGTAAGAACGGGAGAGGGAGAAGCAGAACTCCCGGGCAGTGACCACCATGCCGAGGCCAGCCAAGTCTCCAGGTCTGCAACAATGGAAGAGTGTCCCTGCCCCAGGCTTCGCCCATGATGCTCCCTCGGCTTGCAATACCTCTCTCTCCTCCTCAGCCCAGCCTCATCCAGCCTCCAGGCTTCAGTCTAATCGTCACATGTCATCAGAGGCCACTCTTGATGCCCCAAAGGAAGTGCTACCACTTTTTTTCTTCTGTTATTTTATTTCCAGTGTGGCACATAATTTGTGCTCCTCGCCCTAAATTCCCTGTGCTCAGCTCTGGCCTGGCATACAATGGGTACCCAGTGTACCACTGCAAGCTTTAGGACTGGGTATCCCTGATCCCTGGAAGGCCTTCCCAATTACTACCTACTGTGCGCCAAATCTCAGCCCAGTCTGTGTGACACTTCCTCTGCGAAGTCTCTCCAGATGTCCCAGGCTCACTCAGCCTTTTATCTCTTTGCTTTCCAACCACCTGTGCTGCCTGTCGTACCCTGACCACAGTGAGCTGCTATCACCATTTTCCTCAAGGACATGAGCTCCTGGAACACAAAGAGCCAACGACTTCCAGAGCCCCTGCATTCCTGGCACGTGTATTCCTCGTGCAGTGGTCCAGAGGCACGGCTGCAAGAAGAGTCAAGCTCTGAGGCTGACGGATGGCTGACCGCTCTACCTCCAGAGCTTGAGCTCTCTTAAAGTCTACTCACTTTAGCTGAGCCAAAAATGGATGCTGTCTGCAGTTCCTTGTCATCGTCCTCTTTCCGGGGGTGAATGACCAATGTCACATGGCAGTTATTATCTGTTGCAAACTTCCGAAAGGCCCCAACGATGTAGTCTTGGGCTGCAATCCTGTCCCCAGCCCAACAACACAAAGAGGACAGTCAGGGGCAAGAACACATCCATGCCCTTGACCACTCACATCTCCCCGCAGGCTCCCCACCACCCCAGGACTCACTTAGGTGGCCCCCATTCACACGAGCACTCTCGGAAAATACTCGCGAGTAATGTGTACGCCTAGATGCTGTCTGAGAAGATGCATCACCTGTCTGTGGACAGCTGCTCATGACCCATCATGAACTGCAAGTTGTCGATGACCACGTGACAAACGTCATAGACATAGACTGCGTGCTGCATTGTGTCTATCACAGACCTGTAAGGAAGAGGCAACAAATTCAAGAGTCAATGAAAGCAGCCTCCAGACAGCACAAGCCTAAGAGTTAGCATCTCGAAAACTGCTGGCTGCCCAACCTTCTGCCCTCCCATTCTTGGAGGAGACTGGAAGGGGTTCCCACTGTAGCCGGAAAGGGAAGCAAACGTGCAAAGTGCCGGGGTCTGTCTGGGAAAGGAAAGCAGCTGGCCGCCTGGATCTCACCTGATGTTCTGCTGCCCATGGAAAGTCATGAAATAGAGCGGGAGGTCCTCAAAGCGGTCGGCCCACTCGTCGTATTTGTCCAGCTGCTCCTCTAGCCTCCCCACAGCAAACTGGGTCAGCATAACCCGGGCCAGTCTCACATTGCTGATCTCAAAGCTCCCCCACAGTGTGTTCACCCCCTGGGTACATAAATCCAGGGCATACTCACTGATGAACGTTGTCTTTCCACTGCCTGTCGGCCCTGCAGGGGGGACGAACACAGCCCTGGTGTGAGGAGAAAGGTCTCACCCCTGAACCTAGACGCTAGTCAGGGCTTCAGAGTCAGGGCCATTTTCAGTGGCCGAAACCCACATGCTTCTGTCCTCCGGCCTTCTGCCCCTTCGTCCCAAGCAGTGATTTCCCAAGGGGTCACCTGTAAAGACTGTCAGCTCGCCTTTCCGATGTCCCTTCAAGAGACGATTGAGGTCGGGGAAGCGGCTCCAGCGGATGCCAGCTGCTTGCTCCACATTTGACAATTCTCCTAGCACCTCCTCCCGAAGCTGCCGGAAAGACACAATTGACTTGTGCCAGGCTGGTAGGGCAGTACGAAGAATGCGAGACAGATTTAAGCCTCGGTTCAGAGCCTCCAGGGGACGGGGTTGTTGGTCTCCAGGGCGCACCAAGGAGCATCGTTTTGGGTTCAGTTTTCGGGCAAACAACTTGGCAGCTTCCCAAGAACGAAGGTCATCCCCTAGCCATAATACAATGCGGCGGAACTGTTCAAGGTATGGGAGTAAGGTAGGGGGTAAGGAGAGCGTTCCTCGGGGCAGGGCAAGGGTGGGAAGCCCCGTGGCCTGGCTCAAGGCTAAGCTGTCCAGCTCACGACTTGTCAAGACCACCTCAACATCCCGACGGCTGATCAGTGGTAATCCAAACAGGTTGTGGTAAGCACCTGGGCGGGGTATGGTGGTCTCCATGTAGTGCACTCCATCCCCCCGGCCTTCAGCACCTAGAAGCTTCAGGCCTCGTAATCCTGAGCCTTGAGAGGAGAACCAAGGGAAGACCAGGCTCCGAGCAGGCCGCAGATACTGCACACTGAAGCGCTTCAGTGTGTCGTCTGTCACTTTGGTCAGGCCAAACATCACGCGAGCCACCTGGGCCTCCTCTGAGTCAGGCAGCTCCCAGAGAGGCACTGCTCGGTCCCAAATCCTCCGGACCTCCTCAGTGTTCTCAGTTTCTGGGGTCTCACTAGGCAGGATCCCCTCTTTCACCCCATCCACTCGCCCCTCCACACTGGCCTGGAAGTCTTCCCAGCTCCCTTCTGCTAGGCTGGTCATGCAGAGAAAGCGGCCTGTGGTTTTGTCAATGAAGAGGCTGAAGGAAGTGGTAGCTTGAGTCTGACCCTTGACCTGTGAGGACTCCACAAAGGGGCTCGGTGTTCGAAGGCAGCTGTGGCCATCCTGGAAGGGGATCCCCCGTGTCCGCAGATACTGGCGGATTTCGGCTGTGGTTACAGCCAACACTGACACCTCCAAGGCTGGGAGAGCCTCCTTCCTGTATCGTCTTCGAGGCGGGCCTGGGACTAAGCTTCGGGGAAGGCCCCTGCGGCCCATCCACTCCCCACGCAAAGGCAGCAAGGCCCGGAGCGGGTGCACGCCTCGGAGAAGGATCCACATTCCTAGTGGAGCAGGAAGTCACTCTTGTCTGGGTTGAGTGCCTTTATTAAGCCAGACCCTAAAAATCCTTCACACAGCACTCTACAGAGCTTAAACTTCTATTTCTGTTGGGTGAGAGGTGGAGTGCACCTATAATCCCACCACCTGGGAGGCTGAGGCAGAAAGACTGTGTGAGTTCAAGGCCTATTTGAACAACCTCGACTCAAAAACCAAAAATATGGGACAGGAGCCAGGCGCGGTGGCGCACGCCTGTAATCCCAGCACTTGGGAGGCTGAGGCAGGAGGATCGCTGTGAGTTCGAGACCAGCCTGGGCTTACACAGTGAATTCCAGGGGAGTCTACATAGTGAGACCCTGTCTCGAAAAACTAAACAAAAATATGGGACAGGGATTTAGCTGAGTGGCACCGCGCCTGCCTCGGAAGCACGAGGTACTAACTTCTATCCCCAATACGGGGGCGGGACGGGACGGGACAAAAACAAAAAATCCCCAAACCAAACTTCTACCTCATAAACACCCTGGAATCCTCTTTAGCTACTGTACATCGTTACTTCACATCTCTGCCCCGCTACACGGCCCTTTCATATTTACGGATCCTTTATCATCAGAGTCCTTTACAGCACCGCACCTCTGTACCCAGTACCGACATTGTGCTCCGGTCACGTCCTCACCGCTTCCGCTCTACGGACTCTCCCCGTCGTCCTCCTCTCTACAGCTCTCTGCATCCTCTTACTATCACGAGCGGAGCCGCCCCTGCCCGCGCCCCGTCGTCACCACCCTGGTCCCGGTCCCTTCGCCAGCAACGTGTGCTGCCCCAACTAGCGGAGCGCCGTGACCTCGGAAGCCAAACTTTCCGGGCGCCGAGACCTCCGGAACCGGAAGCCCAGGTTTAGTCCCGCCCCCGCCGCCTTGCGCG